GTACACCCACTTTCAGTGCCAGTACTTGTGTACTACTGAATCATACAAACTCACCTAATTCGCCCGTTCGCTGGGTCCGAACAACAAAGTTTTGTCCATGGATACGAGTGGCATACCACAGCAGAGAAAGGCATAACTAGGGGCCGGTGAAAGCAATGACTCTAGAACGTCAAAAATGCAACCTGATGCAATCAGTTCAAGTTGTCACAACTAATGACATGGGTTCTACACTCCGCCTTTTGGGATCCGGTTCATCTTCTTTAAGCTACCGGTGGGTTAGGTCAGAAAGTGGAGTATGAGAATGAGTGCCAACTAGCAACCGGCTGGAAACTCAGGCGGAGGGTTTGAACTCAAATTCCTAAGTTCGAACATGAAATTCAAGGGTTAACTGTCACATGTGAATCATGCGAAGAAACCATGTATAAAATGCTGTCACGCGAACACGAATAAAATGATGCACGAAAACATTGAAGCGCAGTTGTTTTGCCTGACTCTCACGAATAAATTTACCAACGAATCTTCGGAACCAGGTTAATGCCATGTTGAATTCGATAAAGTGCAAACGTGATGATCGCGTGATGCAGCGGCTGAACTGAGTATGTAAGATCACGTGACAACAATTCGGTAGACAGCTTACATTAGCTTGATTATCGTTTATTTTCAAACAGGATAATCAAAAACGTGAGGAGCAAATCCGAGCAACAAATGGGGAATGTTGTACAGGAGAAAATAAGACGAGCGCAACATTCTATTCCAAGGCATGCCATCAATGGTTTCTTTTCGGACACGATTATTTCCAGCGTACGTTGAAATGTAAACGTGAGTATGATAACACATGAAAATCCAACATTAAAAAAGGACTTCAAAAATGTTAAATTCTCCTCAAGACTTGCACATCAGGTGTTCATCATACGGGTTAAAGTGTGAAAGTCAACGGCAATAATGTACACTCGACGCCATGGACGTAGTCCAAAAGGATGGGCAGAATTAAGTCACCAACTGTGATCCTAGGAAATCTCAGTCCAACAGTAGCATTGACAAATTGAGAAAAGCAGACCCCCCGATATGGAATGATTATTGGTTGGCGAACCGAAAACCAACGTCAAAATGGATGGCACTTAGGGCTGAGATGTTGAGGAGGAAACAATCATCAACATCATACTTCTGCTCATTCCACAGAACAACTCCACACCTATGCTTGCGTCTACCACAGTTGCTCCGCACTCCTGAGCAGCGATTAGGTGAGGCTTGATTAGAGACATCCAAGTAGGTAGTCTCAACCCTTCAAAGACCGTGCATCCCAGACGACAGAGATATTTTGCGAGTTCCGTTGCAACCTGATTATGTCGAGTGCACCGTGCCTCATGCGTAATCCAGTAGGACTGCTGCGCAATCTATTTAGGTGTTCCAGTGACTACTAGGAGTAACCAATTAGTTGAAGTAACCCTCCTGAGAACGTGAACTAAGCTTTCGCTGTATTCAACGCAGCTACTTTGCTTTTAAACTGGGGGTTCGGAAAAACGAAGCCTTCCTCTGAAGTTTTCAACGTGATGTCTAACAAGTTAAATTAAATAGTATTGGGTGTTGTGGGAGTCACACAACATTTGGCCAATAAGTTCAATGTTCTCCAACGATGGAGTCCCCTCCATCCATTGTACGCCACAGTAACCTTATTCTAGGAAGCAGGCCATACCTAAACACCACAAATGCCGCGACTTTCCCTCCCGATACTAGCTCCCTCCCAACTAGTAATTTTGCCTAGGCTCTGCTCACCTAGTGGGATGAACCTAGTCTACCAAAGCTAGTGAGACACTTTTTCCCATGCACGAAACATGGTCAACACATTGTTGTTCATCCTGATCATCCAGTGTTGAGTCCTTTGATGCTAACTTACTCGAGCTAATCGTATGCGGTCATTCGTCCGTAGTCTCTCAACCGTGTGACAAAACCATGCACAACGCGGCCTCACATTTGCGATATGCCAGTCTGATTCTACAGGTAACGCGGATTGGCGAGAGCTTCCTTACATGTTTGGGATTGAAGGGTCATTGGGTTCCTTGAGAGTTTCACCCACCAGAGATTTTTGATGACTTGTGCTCCCTTTCCTTCACCACCTAGCTTCTTGGCCAGCCACTCCACTCAGTTTCGTGTGGTGCCCGAGAACCCGTGGGTTTGGACTGGACAAGCAGAAGTTGGTTTCCTGAGATTATAGCAGGATCACAGAGTTCTGCGAGACCCAATGCTTGATGCATTCAGCACTCTCCGTTCATAAGAAGTACTACTCGGAAACAGCCAAAGGGTTTCCCACTTTGAGATTGTTGTGGACCACAGTCTCTGTGAGCCCCGATCTGGATAGCCGATAGATAGCCTGGTGAGCTTGGCCAAACCGGAAAAAGTCAATAAACGTGCGAACCGGCTGATCTATTGATCACTGTTATTGTCTTACTCAGGGACTCGATACAAGAGGACGTCAAAATCGAACAGAAGTATGAATACTTCCTTTCTTTAGCCGTTACTTCACTATACTTAGATGTAACCAACCAAAATGTCCACCAAGTGTCAGTAGTCTACGTTTACTTGACTATGCAAAACTGCCTAAATTGTCCACGTTCAGACAGCCTACCATTGACCTTTTCCGCGAAGAGGCATTTCCTCGCAGAATCCGACTTCCTCTGAACACACGAGTCTCCCATTGGTGTATTCTTTGTTTTGAACCGATCATCTAGCGGTGACCAGAAACCCATACATTCGCAACCTCTTGACTATTCTGCCGCGTATTGCTTTTCGACAGAGGACAAACACTTCCGTGGAGAGGCTACCAGTGAAAGCGTTCCTGTCATTTCACAAACTGAACAAACACTACGGTGCGTCCAATCTCAAACTACCACAAGCGAAGTGAGGTCAGTGTCACAGAGAAACTGGTACAGTAGCTGATTTCCCTGAAGGTTATGCCGTAAGTATAAGGCTTTTTCCGCTGACTTACAGGATAGTTTTCTTCGCATGGATCGTTTCAAACCAAAATGAGGAATTCAGTGGCAAAACCTACCCTCTTAGTGTTTTTTTTTGCATGTAAGCTAACTACAAAGAGTAGGGAGTACCATCTTCACAACGTGGAAAGTTGGGACTGTCAAGGTTGCTTATTTCTTCGACGTACTCGGTAAGATGAGGCACTACTGCACCAATATCGAACAGCATCACAGAGATAATTACATCATTCTGGAGTGATATGAACGGTATTTCCAAACTAGATAGTCTTGTTATCTTCACCTGGCATCTGGGTACATCAAACGGGATGCGTGCATTTTACGCGACCCGGAAAGGCACACAAAGGAAGCAACAGAGTACAAATGCATGATGTGAGCATGCAGACGTCCAGAACGAACGGCAATTGCCAGCTGATGGCGATGGAACTGATTTTAGGTGCAGGCTGATTTGCCGACGGGAAAGAAGCACCAAGTGGCCAGAAAATGTGCGTCCAGCAACAGACATTCGCCACTGTCAGTGCATTTCGAGTTCAACCGAAGACTACACTGTTTCGTTACATGGTCTAGCTGCATACGCATTCAATTCTCCGACAATCAGAGAGATGCCCGGGACTTTTCCAACACCGAATATAGTGCAATACTAAAAGTATTCTGAAATCACCAGAGCGACACAGTTCCAAAGGGGCGACTGTAACAGGTACTGAGTCAATTAAAGATTCCTCCGCTTGATCACCTAAGACAACTTCCGCACTACCGTTGGCAACTGCTCCGGGAGGATCACCGATCTTGCACGTTTGGAAGTGAGAAGAGGATGATGGGGTCGCCAAATCCAGCATGTGTTAGCAACTTGGGTTCCCGCTTCTAATAAACATACGTCAATCCAAACCTACTTCAGATTGAACCATCGGCCGCTGAGGATCGACTTCGATGTACGAGATTGTAGCCAAACGACAATTTTGTCAGCCTTAACTGTGGAAGGTGTGGAATGCTCACTGCCAGTGTGCGGGATGGGGAGAAAGTAATACATGTAAGTGCAAATAAAGAGACGTAAGTGGCAATATGAGTTCGTCTATTGAGGCTGCAAGATTCAGCGTTCCTCTTTGTTGTGACTAACCTTGTGATCCACCTATCATTTAATTCACCGAAGTAAATGTCAATTACGGATTACTTTAAAACCAGGAATACAGCATGCACGCGTGGAAAAAACCATGTATTCATATCTGGACATTGAACGAACTGCATGAGACCTTTCTGTGTATTACGTTCCGTCGTTTGGTCTCGTCCTAAGCGATACGCTGCACACCAAAAAAGTATATTTATGTATCGGTGGCTGATTACATCGACAGGCTGGTTGGACCTTATATTGATTCAGACGCATGATTTCGTTTGACAAGACCACGAAGCAACTGAAAATCACCGCCATTATTCAGTAGGGCAGTCACAGCCAGTTGACTATTCATCATCTACGACCCCAGTTCTTCACCACTTTGGTGTCGAAGTAGAACGTATATTCGATAGACACTCGGGGACTAGGTCCATTGGATGAGGTCCAGGAAGGGTAAAACCGACGATCATTCGCCAATGTGACAAGTGTGTTTTGTCTAGCAAATTAGACCAATCTACTTCTTAGGAAACTGTCAAACAGGACTGGCTCTAGTGTGTCCTAAAGCGAACCACTATTCGGCGGGGAACGGTCACCTAAGTCGGTACCAATCTATCAAATGATAACGGCTGGAACACAATAAATGGTGTATACGAATATTACATTTACCTCCATCATCTACCAGACATGCCTCTTTAAACGGGTTGGTGTCACCCGATGGACGTCACAATACGTTCGGCTAACTATGAAGCGGCTGGTAAAAGTGGGACACATAGGGATTTCGGTTGTGACAAACTAGAGACAAATTAACGCATACAATCCGTATCTGTAGGACCGCAATCGAACCCTTGATACCTCCTTTAAGCACCCACGGCAGATTCTTGAGGATAAGTAAAACACAGATACGATAAACTGTTTACGTGCCCATTCGAGCCTGAAAATCTGATATACAGTGAATCCAACCGCCAAAAATAATAACAGGGCGAGAATCAACATAAATTGTTGGGGACGACGGCATAACAGTGGAGAATCAATGGATCCAAGAGGTAAGGGTAGGCAAAATCAACAAGTACGACTAATAGTGATTGAGTAAATGAAAATAGAGAAAAAACGAACGAGTATTTGCGTAAACACCCACAAGTTACTGTTGGCAACACCAATAGGGATGAAAGTGGGTTGAAAGGAATTATTACTTGAAAGACAGAGAATCTAACACAGTCTTTGGCATGAGTCCGGCATAAATCGAGAGCCAATCGGCCACTGGTGTGGCCAGGACACCCCCATGATTGACCGGGTCCGGTGTGGCTGCGTAACTGTACTGTTGGCCGCGTATATCCGTCAGACGGCCACCAGCTGCCGCTAAAACGGCCTCTGAAGCACAAGTGTCCCAGCGTTTGGTCCCAGGACTAGGAAATACGTAAACATGAGCTCGGCCTTCGAGAAGCATAAGAATCTTGTTTCCACAACCACCGGCACGTATAACCTAAAGTTGAAGAGCAAGATCCAATGATATTATATCGCATCCTCTCCTGACCACTAACAAAACTATACAGCAGCCCAACATTAAAATAGGTAGTCAGCTGTCAGGCTATGCAAGTCATAAACGAAGATTAAGTCGAAATAGTAAGATGAGAGTTACTGCACACCAGACCTTAGATGTTACAAAATAATCACGCTGTGGTTGGGCTGGAAAGTTCCAAGGAATTCTTTCGGGTATTAGTTGACGAGTCTATGCATATCACGCCTCGAGTTGCGGGAAACGACGGATAAAGATGTGGAACTTGAAGAATAGGTTTCGTTACAGGTCCCCGTGTATTCTTCGTTCACAAAGAAATGTTGATTAAAGTGAGAAAAACGTCCGTATGTAATTTTGCAGCGTACGTGGAATAGAACGGGGAAAGAATGCATTCTTTACTCTTTCTCCGAAAGAATGTAGTCTATGGATTCACGGCGAAGCATTCTCGGCCAGAGATCGAATATGTAGCAGAGAGACGACTCAGTCTTGAAGTCTTCGTGTACGAGAGGGCATCACTACAGGATCGCTTGATGATACACCAATTGTGCGAGGATGCCTTAAGCTGTCTTGCCGTTCCAGAATTGTGACTGATCTAGCTTACTCATTGACACAAAGTCAGTTCGACGTTGCTATGTCAACGAAACGATCGATTAACTGACGACAAGTTTGAAAAAGCTACGGTAGATCCTGAGGTACAAACGGTAGCGTTGACTAGAAAAATATCACGCGAGATGTTCCGACGATGCTCGTACTATAAAGCTCAATGTATGCGAGCGGATAATGTTGACGAACAAAGCAAACGGTACAGGTACATTAGATCACGTGATGGCAGTAACTAGTTTGACCGACAGGAACATCGGCACCAGTGTGCAAATGACTTACGTAGACTACCGTTTGAGGTAGTCGAAAGGTTCTTCACGCTACCCCAATAACCTTTCCTTAGATAACCATGCTTTTTGGCCAACGTTGCGTGAGTAGCATTCATTCAAACACTAGCTGGACACATACCTGACTAGTCGGATCAACGAGAGAAGTGCCACGCATTCAAACATACGACTTCGTTTGAATTTAAAGGAATCACAGGCGAAACCATGATGATGCAAACAGAACGAGAGGTTATTGGGAACCAAAGGACATAGACGGCATCCATCACACACAGAAATGGTTGACAGTAAAATAGAGGTTATACACTACTCACAACGTTGCTGAAAACTCTTCGACAGCCCACGACCCGTTTCGTCCTTCTTGGGGCTCATCAGGTAGGAGGAGTCCCGTCAACCTTATGATCTAATTGAAACTAAATTGCACGAAATTAGCGAAATACACTCAATTGCAAACAAATTTGGTTTTGCAACTAACCCGGAACCCAGCTGAATCTCTCGTTTTCAACGTTTTTAAGCTTGAAAGCACCATAAACGGGAGATTCAGCTGGGTTCCAGACGAGTCTCTCACAAAACCAAATTTCTTTGCAAATGAGTGTGTTTCGCCAAAACAGAGGTGACTGGTCACGTCTTAATCGATACTGACGATTGAGAGGAGAAGCCATCCGCAAAGAATTTAAGTTCAGCAGCGTTTGAATGAAGCAAACTTGAATATACATGAAATGAAATGGCACTTGAATGATCGCAACTGATCAGCTCCCACAACCATTGTTGTCGGCTTATCTCTTGGCAATAAAGAGCAACAATCTCATATCTCTCTCTCTCTCGATCACGCATGAATTAATTGTATCCCTCTCAAGATTTATCGAATTTCTTCCCTACTCAATATCAATTCATACCAAAATTCCTGCGGGATCAGTACTGTATCACTGTTACATCCACCTGACCGGTCCCAACCAGGATTGATTGGATTCGTCTGCGAATCCAAGTCCCATGAGCTTCTTAAGTATTAAGTCCCTCAGGGAAGGCCAAGAACAGTTGAGAACAGCGCTCGAATTCGCTCAAGTAGTCACATTTCCTCAGGAAATCAAAATGTACGAGCTAAATTAAGAAGCTTCCTTGCAAGCTACATAAACTTCTGGCAAATTCGATCAGTCACAACTCCCACAGAAGAGAGGATGAATCGCTGTATTCAAATCGCGCTCGTCTAAACAGTCCTCTCAATTTCAGGGCGAAATTATCCTGGTTAGTCTATATCAAAGCAAAGAAACGATGTTTGTTGACTGAAACTGAGCCACTGTCTTGACAGAAGCCATGGACACATACTGTCCTATATTCCTAAAAATGGCAAACAATCGCAAACTTGTAACCAATGCTTTTTATCCTTCAACCTCTGCCACGGGAACTATAATTTCTGCCCAACATAACTTCGAATAATGTCGTTTCTAGTTGAGCTCTTCCACTATCCCTTAGTGTGAAAAAGGACTGAAAACATTTTCACTATCTGTCAGGGCGGCCGAATTCGATCCTTCTCACCAGAATTTCACGCGCAAGTATAAATAACGCACAAATAACAAGAATAGGTCCCAAGCTGGAGAATGAATCATTTCCGATAGGCAGCAGAAAAGCTGAGTGTACACCGCTGGGGTGGAGAAAAGTGGATGTCAAACTTTATTCATGAAGCTCACTTTTGTCGGATGACAAGCTTCAGTTGCAGCGGACAATGCCGGTGTAGGATGGGACCGAGTGACCACTATGATGTGTGGAGAATCTCCCGGTTTGCGGGTCGCGTCGAGTGGATATGGAAGTTGACCTGCCGGCAGTCGTGGGGTAAGACCAAACACACCCAGACCATCGAGAGCCCACACGGTTCGCGTGACCGTCTTCGATGGCGAAACTCTGGGCGAATCGGCAGTAATGGATTGTGGAATTGAAGCGTCATGGTAAAATGGCTGTGCAATAACACCTGCAACGGGTTTTCCATGGACCGAGATGCCAATCAGTATGGTAACATGTTCAACAATGCCCTACAGCAAAAGTAAGGTAGAACACATCCAGAAGCGTTTTAAATGAATAAACCGTAACGATAAGTTGGACAATGAGCACATGCAGATAGTTTATACATTGACACAAATCACTCTGCTCCAGATAAGTGAACTGATCAAACGTCATCGATTCTAGGAAAGTGAACCTAATACTACCATTTAATCTCCAGAGCTATATGATGCTGCGAATGCCAGCTTCTGCGAAGAGCAGTTGATTCGTTGTTGACACCAACTCTTACGAGAGCTCCACAGATCCAACAGAGCGAAGGAGTTCACAGGTCATAATAGGCAGTGACCTTTTTGAGTGGACTTTACTTCCAAAGGAGCGGCCATCTTTCGACAATAAAACCAAACTGGATGCCTTGACTTATCGAACAGGTTTGGTCATGTACACACATCATTAGGACTCGATTGGGAAACATCCAATGAACGAACTGGCAATGGAATTGAGCTGAAATGAAAACTTGATGAAAGGCTCAGTTCAGATGTGTCTTGACAGTGCTTCCCCGTTTTTACAGGATTCAGTTCGTCCACAGTGCCATTCTTTCGGTTCATCAGACCGACCTCTTTCGAGTTACTAGTTGCATTCATACTTCAGGCTCCAAATACTTTTTTCTTCGCGTGTCCGCTACTGTTTAGTTCTTACAACCCTTGACTTTTCAAATTTCAGAAGTGTTTGATTTGCAAGGTCACCAGCGCGTCCAGATATCTTATTCGGTTTGTCTATCTGGGCCAGCGCACTTCATGCGTAATTGATTACTGGAGTTTTCACAAACAGCCCCATACAATGGACCTTGCCTTCCAACGCGAAAAGTCTTTCATTATAGTGTGTAACTGAGTACTCATTATCCCTAGCCCCGCATTCAATCGCGTTGGGGGTGAACAACGAAACGACAGTAAGGGATCGGACCCGTTTGACGAAACGAAGAACGCCTCACCGAGGATTCGCTTCCGATTGGTTCCATAAGCCTACGGTTCAACTGACAAACAATGGTGGTGACCAATGCACATACCAAACATCGACTCTGGAAGCAGACAGGATGTCACCATCATCATCATAACATCCGGCAACATTTGATTTGAAATACCAATTTTTCCAACGCGGTGCTTCACCAAAGCGGGTGCTGATTAGCTCGTTTATATACCAAACACATTAATACCTCGGCTCTTCACCATGCCTGTGTAATCTGCAGGACTTTCAGAACAGTTATATCTGCTGTGCCCGCATAACACTGAAACAACCCATTGATAATAAGCAGAATGTGTAGACTAGAGTAGAATCGGGCTGTACGTGAAGGTGGACAAAAAGGATAGTTAGAAGAACGGATATCGTCCTGTAAGGACGCACTTCAGTAAACTCCTTAGTTCCATCCAGTGGATCAACCCAAACCACGACATCAGACAAGTTGGTCGACAAGTAGGCCGAGGGACACTGTTGGTCGATAACTTCCTTGGTTAATTCGGGTGAGATGGCCAACTCGGAATCATCTAGTTTGCCTTCCTCGCCTAGATTTTCAGTTAGCCTAACGTAATCGACAAAGTACCGATAATCTTCAGTCCGGGGAAAGTTTGTGACAGCGAACCGACAATAAATCGCTGCGCGTCCCGATCGGCCTTGGACTGAAGATCATTGACCCCTTTGTCTACGATTTCCAAATCTTTTGAGGCCAGAATATTCCTCACAATCGTACTGGCCCGACTGGCCAGGTTGACCGAAGATGCCAAGATTCGCATAACCAATGGGTGTTCCATTGTGTGCTCAAGACGTGTAAACTGTCCGAATCGAATAAGGCTGAAATGTAGAAAAACGAGATGACCCAATACAGAATCAGCAATTGGCCCATTAGTGGCCCAACTAAAATCGAGCTAATTGAAAAAGCAGTTTGGAAAGGCGAACCAGTTTGCGCGCACACTGAAAACTTGCGTCGCTGCAGCAAATAAATGAACTGTGGAAATTAATAGAAACTAAATATGTAGTCATAACTCCCAAGCAGGCCACTTGCACTCTGGCACATGCATCAATATCTCTCAATATCTCAATATCTCCCAAAAAATAAAAGAATCCGTTTGGTAAAGTATACTATCACAAGGAAGTCTGGATTGCGACTTTAAGGGAAGACAGCCTGAGGTCGTTGTAACATCAGAGCGGATGCATCATGTATGACTGACAAGCGTGTATCAATTTCAAGCAACTGGCAACCTAGCGCAACTGTTCACCACGTATCCGTACGGTCGATTGCATGTATCGGACACTATTCCTAGGGCGGGGTTAGACGAAACAACGAATAGCAACACTTTGATATCCTGAGTTGATCCCTCGCATGTAGGTAAACCTTCAGCAAGGTAAGGGGGAAAATCCAGTTGAAGATCCTGCGGCCAATGAAGCGTTTTATAGTCGCTTCCCAGGATTTTCAGAAATCTAATACCTATTGAGCATAGCTTTTATGTCAACCAAAGGCACCAGGAGGACTGAGATGCTGTCAGATTGCTCAAGCCTAGACGGGAGAAGTTGAAATGCCGGGGTTGGGTTCGAAACCCAGAAGAAGGCCGAGAAACTTCAATGCACGAGTCGGTCGAGAGTACTCCCTGTACCCAGGCGCTCTGGAACCCCGTGCTATTGTGACTGTAAGCAAAATGCGAAGACATTTTGCGCTATCCACACGATTGCTATCGCCGAAAGATTTGCCCTTGTCAGGTGGACATACCCGCGCAGAGGTCAATCACATCTACTTGATTACATAGTCGTCCGCCAGCGAGAAGTTCGATAAGTGTGAATCACACAAGAGATGTGACAAGACCATCCGGACAGCGAGATCAAGGAAAGGCACATAAAAGATGCTCGAAATGACGTGATTGGGTAACTGAACCGCATCAAGGTGGAATGGTGGAACGCACTTTTTCCACTGACCAACGCGATCTGACGGGAAAAGGAAGCTCAACCACAATTTAAGGATGCTTTAATAATACCGCTCCATAAAGGAGAAAGAAGCGGGACCTCTCCTGACAAACACAGAAGCGTTAATCTGCTGAGATGCGCGAGCAAGCTACTGAAACGGGTGCCACTCAGTTGTTTGATAGCTTAAGTTATCGGAACATATCTCAGAATTATTTGGATTCCATGCAGCACAGTGAACATGATACTCGCTGCATGTCAGGTTCAGTGAAAACCCCGCGAACACCACCAGTCTCTCCATACCCTCTTCATAGGGTTTATGAAGGCCTTCGACTCAGTCAGCCGAAAAGTATTGTGGACATTTCTTTCCAAACACGGCAGTCCACCAAAATTCATCAATCTCATCCGAAGCCTACATGACGCACTGACGCAAAGGTAAGAACGAATGGATCAATGTTAAGTGATTTCGAAATCTTTAATGGCGAAAACTAGGGTGCGTCCTAACCCTCATTCTCTTCAAACTTCACCTAGCAGTCATCAAGAATGAGGCTTCTGCAAACGACAATGCTGGTATACAGTTCGGGTATCTGCTTGACGGACTTTTATTCAGTAGACGTCCCGATGCGAGGAATTTGGCCCACCAGACCAAGATCCACATTCTTCTCTATGAAGGCGACTGTGTTGTTTGCATGATGAACGGCATCTGCAAGAAGTTTTCTACTGCTGCCGCGAAGTTTGGCCTGAGCATCAACGCGAAGAGGAATTTCGTTCAGTACCAGACTGCCCCAGGCGTGGTCCCCAAACCCCTTACGCGCGTCTAAACTGAAACAGCTTGTGGACTGCTGCCACCTCCAAAGCAAATTGTCTGCTGACTTGACCGCAAACCACGAACTGAGATCCCATGATACAAAAAAGCTCGGGTTTTGGAAAACTCGGGAAACGGGTATAGGGGGGACCGAGGTCTGCGAATGTAGACGAAGATGCATGTCTACAAGGCGATGATTCTTGTACGACAATCACCATGCACCAGGGCAACACCTGATACATGGACAGCTACCACATGCACTGAGGCGGATACTTGGTGTTCATTGGATTGAAAAAGTGCCGGACACGGCGCTCCTTCAACGGGCGTGTTGTGATGGGATGCGAGTCACAATCACATACAGTCGTCTACGGTTAATAAGGCAAGTCTACCGGATGGACGAGGATGATGCTCCGAAGCATCTTCTATATGACAGCCGAATAAGAATAAACGGAACCCTGGAAGAAAAAAGCCCAGATGCCTGGTCATTTTGGTCGAAATTCTTGAATCTTATGACGTGTCTGTCGTGAAGTGGAAAGCTAAAGCACAAAACAGGACGGTCTGGGAGGGGAGTTCGCCAGCTCAACGATCGACAGCTTCGGTCCTGAGGACTGAAGCGTGCTAAACGCAATCAGTTGTTGAACCCGGAGATCGAACAGGCTTGGTCTGTGGCCACCGATCGCACTGAATTGGTCAACCACCAGCGGACAAACGGTGATTCGCCGACGGAGTTTATCAGATCACCTTAGAGTTCTGAGGTTACCAGATAGCTAAAGGTACGACGGGACTAGACGTTAATTTCTGTCACCATCGCCGTACAAACCAAAACCTACGAGAATACCTTATCTCGTTGAGCAGTGCGGTATGTTAAGACTGCGATAGTGCTGAAAGTGACTTTCATCATTATCATCATCGACAGCACAACATCAGTGTTCAAGCACTGCGCTTCGCTACTATACCATCGTCAAGTGAACGGAACCAAGTCGAATTATCTGCCATGAGGATAGATTCTGGGTTCGGCTTACTAGTAATTCCACTCCCCAGTCGATCTGAAGCAGATACCGTTGGGTTCAAAGGATAGGCTGTTCCCATCTACATGAGCAACGCCCCGCCTGAATACCCTGGATATTCTGAAGCTTTAAGCCTGTTTAAGTGCTAGAATTGGTTATCGGTGACCAGCATTATTCAGACCTAGCTGAACGATGACTAGCACCAAATAGCCATAAGTGTGCTTAGAATGCGCCTCCTGAGCGGGGCGGACCATCAGGCGTCCCTTTGGCTTAACTGTTCAATGGTAACCAATTGAGTTGCCAAGTGACACTTGGGTATGCCGATGGCTTTAGGGCGTAAACACTATCTTACAGTCTTTCCCCTGTGGGATCTCCAATACAAAGGCCACTCTCCCATGAGGACTGTTGTTCGATTTCTACTGGAGTAGACAGAAGTCCTCCTATAAAGGTTAACCTCGGGCAGAAGCAACCGTGTCGTGAACATCCTTTCGCCATCAAAACCGAGCATGCAACTTACAACTAACATATTTAAAAACTCTCACTTCAGTACACTGCCTGTTGTTTCATTGTAATTAATCATTCATGTCCCCGGACATCCGGAGCACCAACTGTGTTTTAGAGTAAAAACAGGATTACCTTATCGTCTGTATCTGATACCTGTTAGCTGAATGCCCATATGCCTAAATGACATGGGTAATAATGTCATGCTTACTACTTGGGCAGAATATTGTTATGCGGGGACAATCTTTGTTGGCCTCCCGGCGGACAATAGATCCAATCGCAACATTCGCAAACGCCCCTACCCAGAGACCTGCTATGTTAACGTTGTTACATGATTTGCCAAGATGCCCCTTAGAATTTTGCGCCTGCAACCGCGGCAGCACCCGAGTTTAGTGAATAGTACTAAAGGCAGGGTTTCACAATGCGGGGGGGGGGGGGTTAGGAAGTTTTGGAGGCAGGGAAGGAGCAGCAGTTGGGATACAACCGCTTCGGCTTTAAACAAACTTATACACTGGTCAACCAAGAAACAACACTGGAAGATCTTAAGTATGGCTTTAGAAAACAGGTGCGATCAAACAACTTGACACTGTAAGGATAGTTCGGCTGTGAAACCTTCTAGGTGCACAGCTTTCATGCATCTCGGAGGCACGAAGACTGAGGTATTGCGCAGTTTCCCAATATAAGACAAGGGCATTTGAAAATCCAGGGTAGCGTTCGAAATATGGACCTTCAAGTCAGTTTACGATGAACTGGAACTCCTGCATGAAGTACAAAATTTACAACCGTCATTAACGAAGTTGGAGGATGTCCGGTCACTACTAGTATTTCACGTCACACGTTTAGACACTGCTCAAGTGAACTGAGACCACCTATCACTGATCAACTGCAATGGTCCTTCTGATGTTTGCATCACACTGTGGTTGGACTTGCAAGCAACTGGAATGATTTGAAAAGGCGTATGCCTTGGGAACAAATAAAAGAGCTTATATATTATGCTAATTTAGTGTGGGAATTTTTCATCAAGCCCTAATCACGTGATTTTTGTGCAATATGGCGCGCATGGAGGAGCTATCCAATAACTGGTAACATGAACACATTCCTGCTT